TCTATTTATTTTTTAACCAGAGACAGAAAAATGTCGGGGGTTTGGTTTTGTCACATATTCCATGGAGGAAGATGCACAACGAGCCTTAAAAGAAATTAAAGAATACGACGGGCAGAAGCTGTCCCTGACAGTCGCCAAGAGTAAAATCAAAGACAAAAACAAGAAAGGTTCGTATGAAGACATGTTCCAAAACTGGCAATTAGGAGAGTCCTGTGTCTCCATGGTAACCTTGCACTTATGTCATTTAGCACCTACAGAGGCAGTCACTGCTCCAAAGGAGAATCAGCAGAAAGGCTCCAAGAAAAAGCTACTGAAAGCAAGACTTATTATAAGGAATCTCAGCTTTAAGGTACAGTATGTTTCATGATTACTAAATGTAACAGCTCAGAGCACACTGACAGAAACCTTTGCTAACACACACCATGTGTTACAGTGCACAGAGGATCATTTGAAAGAAGTATTTGCAAAGTTTGGGACGGTTGTTGAGGTCAAAATCCCCCTCAAACCTGGTAAATACATATATGTTTCTTAGCAGATGTATACATAAGTGAGCATGTTGAAGTATTGCCAGACTTTGGAGTGGATTGATTCGTTATGAGGTTGATTTTTATGCTTTTTCATAGATGGAAAGATGCGTGGATTTGCATTTGTCCTGTTTAAAAAAGTGCCAGAGGCGTCAAAAGCACTTAATGCTTTGAACTTGAAGGAGATAAAAGGTCAGTGAGTGATACCGTTGAGTTGTGTGCTTAAGAAAAGCTCATTATGACTTGTTACATTGTTACTTTGACATTTCTGTTTTTTAAAATGTTGGCATTTAATCTCCAGGCCGACCTGTAGCAATTGACTGGGCTGTACCAAAGGACAAGTTTGTTACTACACAGCAGTCCTCAAATTCAGGTAGTTAAATGACAAAAATACTTTGTGTGCTCCAGTTCCAGAAGATATAAAGCTTGTTGTCATTAACACAATTATTTTTTTTCTTGCTTCATAGCCAGTACAAATCCAGAAGAAGCAAATGCTAACACTGACAGTGACACGGACGATGAGGATGAAGAAAAGACGAAAGCTCCACCTGAGAAGAAAAAGTATGAACCTCAAACATGCATTCCTCTGTTTATATGCCATGAGTGTTAAAAGGTGATTGACTACACTGGTTATTTTGCTCCACATCTGTCCACAGTGTCAGTTCAAAATCAGCTGTGAAGCCTACAGAGGAATTTGAATCAGGTGATGAAGATGGGAGTGAACAAAGCAGTGAAGTGAGTGATTCTGATGATGAAAAAGATGAGGAGGAAGAGGATGATGATGATGGGGAAGAGGAGGGTGATGATGATGATGATGAGGATGGAGAAAGCCTTGATTCAGATCATGATGATGGCAGTATGGATGAAGAGGATGAAGAAGATCAATTAGGTATGGATAGTATAAATAACATATTTAATATTTCCTTTCCTTTGAAGTTGTTTTCATACATTTTGTATTTGGCTTTTATCCGTAGCTGAGAAAAAGACCTCGAAAAAACAGCTTCCTTCAGATGTGAAAGAGGGCAGAACGGTTTTCATCAGGTCAGTGATTTTTCCTCCTACTCAGTCCTGAGCCAGCTTTGGTTTATTTTGCTGTGGCTCGTTTGTTTTCTTGTTATTCTTACATCCTCCAACTCTCTCTGAGACCTGTTTCTTTTGTTTTTTAAACACCTACATTTAAACCAATTTAGGAACCTGTCATTTGACACGGAGGAAGAAGACTTAGAGGAAGTTCTCCTTCAGTTTGGAGAACTTAACTACATAAAGATTGTTCTCCACCCAGATACAGAACATTCAAAAGGTCGGTTGACAGTCCTCGAAAGTCCTTAAGTGAAACACTTGTGTCTATTAGCTGTTTGGAGAGAACCAGTTCACTTACTCTTCTGTGTTATTGTTGGCAGGTTGTGCCTTTGCTCAGTTTAAGACTAAAGAGGCTGCCGATAAATGCATAGCTGCATCACAGGATGAGGCGGAGGTAATATATAATCAAGTGTAATGTACATGATGTTTGACTTATTGTGCAGTCACACGCTGTTTAGATGGAGCCACTTCTTGGGAATTTGGCCTTTTAATGTTGATGTTTTTAAATTGGACTGTGGAAACAGCATGGGCAGAATTGATACACATTGATAGCTCTGAGTGGTCAGTGTATATCTATGTATTTTTATTCAACATATTAACTGATAGTAACTACTAATAAATAATTTTTCTAATTATTTTTTGTCAAGCTACATGGAGGGTAATTTAAATGTTATTAGCTTGAAGCAAAATATTTTTACTAATCTGTCACTTGTCCAACTGATGTTTGAACATTGTTATTACAAATTTCTTGTGTATTCACCCTTTTATAGCGTCACTCGAGTCTCTTTTTTTGTGTAATAACCCTTGTTGTAGACGAGCCTTGCAAACATTTGTATGTTTGATGCAGGATAGTGGTATCCGTATACATGGCAGAAAGCTGATGATTGTTGCAGCAGTGAGCAGAGAAGATGCCGTGAAGCTGAAGGTCGATAAAAAGAAGGTCGAAACAGGCACGAGGAACCTGTACCTGGCCAGAGAGGGATGTGAGTAATCATTTATCTTATGCAGCTATATGCTTTGTGGCCACTTCATTAGTTACACTTTGCTAGTACCAGGTTGGACCTCCTTTTGCCTTCGGAACTGCTTTAATTCTTCATGGCACAGATTCAACAAAGTGCTGGAAACATTTCTCAGAAATTTTGTTTCACATTGACATGGTAGCATCACGCCGTTATGCAGATTTGTCAGTTTCACATCCATGATGGGAATCTCCTGTTCCACCACATCCTAAAGATGCTAGAGCAGCAGTTTGTGAAACATACAGACTAGCCCATCTGGCTCTAACAACCATGCCTCATTCAAATCACTAAAACCACATTTCTGATGCAGCTGAAGTGTAGGTTTTAGCAGCAGGTTTGAATTTTGGTCCAGGTTGTTTTTGGTGCTTGTGCAGCACGGTGGTTAGCACTGTTGTCTCACAGCAAGACGGACCTGGATTCAAAATCACCGCCTGGCCGGGGCCAAAGACATGCACTAAATGGTGGTGAGGTTAACTGGTCATTCAGTGTGAATGCTTCTGTCTTGCTGTGTTAAAGTGCCCATAAACCCTTCGCAGTGGTCGTTTTGCTTACTGCTGCGCTGTCATCACCTAGATGCAGTCATTTATACCTGCAGTTAAGGTGCAAGAAGCCGCTGCAGTGTTCTCCTAAACGATGGGTGTTGCCACTCAGTTATAAGTCAAAACAGGAAGCCGAGGGTTCTTTCCACAAACTCTGAAGTTTTCAAACAGTTGCAGCATCTCCCTCTGTGTGTCAGTATGTCTCTGAGCTTGTGTGCAGGATCATTAAAGTGGAGGTAAAAATTGGCACAATTGTACAGTCATGTCTTCAACCCAGCTGCAACAATTGTGGTGCAGCACACAAAGTTACAAAAAAACAAGAGGTCTGGCGACCTGTACCATGCACCCCGCCTCTCGCCTTATGGTAGCTGGGAGGCTCCACCCCTGGATAAGCAAAAAGAGAATGGATAGATGGATATTCTTGATTGACGAACTGTGTTGTCGAACTATTGTTTTGAAGCTACAGCGAAAGACATCATCACAGTGTTTTCTTCAGCTTGTTATCTTTCCTGTGGGACAGCCCAAAGGAGGCTTTAGAGGGCATGAAAGGAATTTGCACTGGCTCCATGTAGCTCAATTGCTTTTGAATGTTATTGTCTTTCACCTCAACTTTCAGTGATTCGTCCAGGAACCAAAGCTGCTGAGGGTGTACCTGAGACAGACATGGTCAAAAGAACCAGAGTAAGTACATTTTTCATAAACCGTTCCACTCGCAGGATGATTTCTGTTGTATAATAACGAATCTTTCACTTGCTCTTTCTAATTGCTTCCATTTTGAGTCATTATTTGCTGTTGCCTTTTTTTTGTTTCTTAGTTTGAAGAAATAAAGAGGGCCAAGCTTCGGGACATAAACGTGTTTGTGTCAAAGACTCGCCTGTGTGTGCACAACCTGCCGAAGTCAGTGGACAGCAAAAAACTCAAATCACTCTGCCTTCAAGCTGTGAAAGGAGTAAAGGGAGTTCGCATCACAGAGGTGAGACTACACCATTAGGCTTGACGTAGATTGTTAATTTGTCACAGTTTTGTAAGGAAAAAAATGTTTTGTGCCCAGCAGGGGGTGTTGTGGTAATTCTTTTTCTCGTGCGTGTGTGAAACCAACTGTTTCTCTTTTTAGTGCCGGGTCATCTACGACAAGAAGCCCGAGAAGGGTCAAGTGATGGGACAATCGTTAGGCTATGGCTTTGTTCAGTTCCAGGATCACGAACATGCTCTCGCCACGCTTCGCTACCTTAACAACAACCCTTACGTCTTTGGCTCACAAAAGGTACAGAAGTGCCGAAATCAGTGGCAGAGTGTTTGAGAAGTGGCACTATTTTAGCCTCTTTTCCTCTTTGCATTGTGGTTAATTTTTTTGTTTCATGCACCAAATTCTGTTTTCATATTTCTTTTCCTGGCCCACAAGCAGTCTCGGATCAGTCAGGCATAAGTGTTTTTTGTGTCATTTTGCAGAGACCCATTGTTGAGTTCTCCCTGGAGGATTTAAGAAAACTCAAAATAAAAGAAATGCGGCAACAAAAGAGCAAGGTACGTTTGTACTGATCTGCGTGTTAGTCGCAGCTTAAAGTATCTTTGGAAATTCTAAAAACAAGAAGAGAGCTTTTTAATAGGAAGTAAGTCTGTGTTTATTTTTGCAGGAGTTTTTAAAAAATCAGGCTAACAAAGGAGGAGTAAAACCCAAGTCCCAAACAGCCGGAGATGGAAAAGGACCAGGGAAAGGTGGGAATAAAGCACAATCCTCACTGAAGAAAACGGCAGAGGAAAAAAGTAAGAAAAGATTATTTTTGTTATCATTTAGTATATTTGATCACTGGATATGACGGTTTATTAGAGGGGCGTGTCACGAGTATCACAGCTTTTGGTGCGTGATTGAAAACAGCTGCTCTGATACATAAATGTGCTTTCTTATATTTAATACTTTCAAGTTTACTTTTTATTTTATTCTTCTTTAAATACTCCATCTGTGCATTTTTCTATATTTATCAGGTATTCCTGAAGGCCAGAAACAAGACCAACACTTTTCAGGCTTCCAGACCACATCTGAGGTTGAACACGTAGATTTGCAGAATGGGAAGAAACGAAAGAAAGTGCTGCCTTTGCCTTCCCATCAGGGACCAAAGATCAGGTGTTGTTTTTACTACTTTAAGTAGTTGCCTGTCGTTCCCTCACCGGTCACTTTGTACTTCTGAAAACAAAGGCTATAACACAAATATTTTAGGTGTATGTGCCCAATTTCACAAATTAAAAACTAGACGGACATACTGACCGTCACTCCGCAATGGGAACTTTCATCCTTTGCAGATCGCGTGACAAGAGAAAGCAGCAGAAAGCCCCTCCGCCTAAGAAAGCCAAGCCTGGATCAACCAGGAAGGAGCGACCAAAGCGACAGATTGAGAAGCCCACACAGCCCAGAAACCAGGTTTGCAAATTTGGTGTTACATGTGCTTATTTGTAATCTTGAGTAATAGTCACAAAACATTGTAGAGTAAATAGCACCTATGGATTGATGGCAGAATACTTAAAAGTAGTCATTCTTAATTTTAAAACACCATAGCCTTATTATTTAGGCCATTTTACTGCACTTTTTACACTTAAACAGTTCTTAAACCTGAAGAAATTTGAAGGTAGTTGAGAAGACGCTTAACTCAAAAGGTGTTTCTTGCAGTGTATTTAGAAGAGCTGATGCGAGTGAAAGTTTGTAAACAAAAAAAAATAAATTTTACAGTTTAAGGACAGTGGGGACGTTATAGCAATGTGTCCGAAAGCCACATGAC